ATGTAGGGCACCCTGGGAGCTCTGCATCATTCCATGTCCAGAACCATCTCAGAGCTTCTTATCATCACTAATTCCTGGCCTGAGCTCTAGGACAAGAACCCATGTGATCAGGCAGCAAAATGTCCAGAAATATGCAAACCAGGTGTGAGCATATGGGCTAGAATGTAAAGTGCCTGGAGAAGTTCTAGAACTCTCCAGAGGTCTTAGAACCTAGAAGGAGTTGTCACCACCTCCAAAGTGGAAATAAAATTTATAGAGAACAGCATACAACAGCAAGGTGCTACTTTTACATGAAGCTTCAGAGAAATCAAGGAAAATTTTAACATTAAGTTTTCCTTCTTATTGAAGACGCAGCCACCGAATGCATCAATGGGAGTGTTGAATTAATAACAAATCACGAAGGTGTTTTTGCTGTTTAGTGGGCTTCTACGTCTTCTTGGAAATGTCAGAAATGTCAAAATCCCACTCTATAAGTGACAATTTAAAATTCATTTTGGTCTTACATGAAACAGATGTTTAAATAGTTACATCTTGTAATATTTTTTCATAGAAAATTACTAACTCTAGCTATATTGATTTATGTTTTAATATTCTTAATGATGCCACAGTTTGTGAAATACTGTTCACCACACCCTAGTTGCATTAGCCGTTGTGTACACAAATGCTGTTCCAAGTGCAAATGTTGGTGATCTAATAAATGAATTTGCAATCCCAAGAATAAAATATTAGCCTACTAAAATTATGACACCGAAACTATCCTTTTACGGTTTGAAAGCTTATGTTGTTGTTCCTTTATAACTGTTTTCCTTGCTGGATTTTATTCTTCATAAAACATTTTTAAAGGAAAAAGCTTAACTCGTAAGGCAGCCATACCTTTGGCATCATATTTCTTTTCTTTGTGTTTGAGCCAACCACTCCATGTTTCCATTTTTATTTTAGCTTTGCAAGTTCTACAGCCCGCGCTCTTGTGGCTCCGCTTATATAAGCTACATTATTCAGTCCTCATCTACAGACTGCAGACAGTGTGACCTAACTTCACAGATGAAGATCCTGGGGTCTCCCCACCTTAAGAGACGCGTCCAAGGTCACCTCACAACCCAGGGGCAGAGATGTCGTTACCAAGGAACCCAGCCTCTCTTCCAAGTCCTTGCTACTCTCTTCCTTCTACAGTCTCCACGGTGTTCTGAGAACTTCTCCCCTTCGTTCCCCCATAGCCTCAGAGCCGGAATGACACTCTCCAAGCACCAACCTCTTCCAGTACTTCTGTCATCCTTCCCAGCCTCCTGAGGTAAAGGCAGCACCCAGAGCATGACAACTTTGTAAGGGACAGAGAACGTGGTTGAAAACACTGCCACCTTGTGGTACTCTTTACCTATGACACTGGGAGATGTGGGCTCTTTCCCTGCTTGGCGGAAGCCAGTGTGTACAATCAAGGTATCTCAGAATTGTTTTTTTCCTTAATGAACACAGGGACAGTTACATTTTAATTGATCCTATCAAAATTAGCTTTTATTTTTAAAAATTCTATTGGGTGCCTTTGTATTTATTTTTAAATACAAATGCTGTCTTTTCTATTAACTTTGAGTTTAACTTTTTTTTTTTAGTTTCTGGTGGTTAAACTTAAGAGTGTCAATTTGTAAGCTTTTCTACTTTGTACTTTAGAAATATTTGTTGCTATAAAATTTCCCTTAAGCACTGTTTTAGCTGTATTTCTGTAAATTTGGTGATACTGTTTTCCTTTTCAATAACTTCAACATATTTTCTAGCTTCCCTTGAGATTTCTTAGGAAACAATAAAAAACAAGCTGATTACTTTCTAAATAATTGGGAATTTTTTCAGGGTGTCTTTTCATCAGTATTTTGTAAATTCCACTGTGACTAACTAGCATATTTTGTATGATTTTAAATTGTTTTGGGTTTTTTGACCCTTGTTTTCTAACTCAGTAAAGACTGTACTGAGTGACACTTTAATGCATTCCACTGTTACTGGGTGGAGTAGTCTATAAATTTCAGAAGGTCACATTGAATGATGCTGTTGTTCAAGTCTTCCTTAGTTTAGCTGGTAGTTTGTCTGGTCATTCTGTTCATTACAGTGGAAAAGTACTGACATATAGGATTGTAATTGTTAATTTGTCCATTCTCTCATTTCCACAGTTTTTTTTTAAGAATTTTGAAGTTCTGCTAATCGATTCATGCAAATTTAGTATTTATTTGTGTTCTTGGTGTCTTAAGAATTTTTCATTAGGAAAAATATCCCCTACTATTTCTGCAAATATTTTTTATTTTAAAGTCTATTTTGATTTATAGTCAAATAGCCAATACAGCCAATTCTGTTTTCTCTTATATATACATGGTATACACATATATATATTTCCATCTTTTCATCTTTAATGTACCTTTGTCCCCATAGTTTACATACAGTGTGAAGGTTTTACAGACACCTGCATTTAGGTCTCACTATATGCAGAACTGGCCATTTGTCTGCCTTTCCAGAGCTGCTGGAATGTGAACAATGTGCTCCTTTCTGTCCTATGGAGTCAGTTTCTCACAAATACTTTTCTGATTTCCTGAGTGTTAAAGTGCAGGTTTTCTGGTGAGGAATTCCTTTAACTTTTCCTTGTTGTTATTGCCAGAAAATGTTGTTGCCTTTATTTCTGAGGTACACTTTTGCTGGTGTGGAATTCCAGGTGGATTCATCTGGCTTTTATAGATTCTGAAGAGCTTGCTCAATTTCTCCTTCCATTCTTCTCTGTGTAATGTTTCTTTTCTCACTCTTCTTTGAACATATTTCTTTTCATTTTTGATGTAAAATAGTTCAATTATGATATGCTTTCTGTGGTTTTATGCTTATTTTGTTGGATTACTTTTAGATCCTAAATCTTTTCCAAATTTGGAGTGCAATACACCATTATTTCCTTGGCTGTTTCCCCCTCCCAAAACTTTCTTCTCACACATACACATATGTGAGACTGCATGAGGTTTGTCACTATAATTTATTTTAGTCTTTTTTGGTCTCTCTTTGCTTTATTTGCTCTTTTTTGGTACTAAGATAGATGTAGGTTTGCAGCTCCTGTCTTCTTTAATGTCATCACCCTGAATCCAATTCAGCCTATGTTTTTCATATTTTATTTTTCATATCCAGAACTTTCACTTGATTATTTATATCTTTGATCTCTTTTCTCATTATGAATAGGTTTCCTTTCAGCCTTGGACATGTTTATAAAATTGATAATCACTCCCGTGTATCTCTTTTGGCTAACTCTAGCACCTCTGCCCTCCCTAGGTGTTTTATTAAATGACTTTCCTCCTGGTTGTAGCCCACCTTCCTTGTGTCTTCACATGTTAATAGGTTTCGATTGCATTCAATACCCTAGAATGCCTAAATTGGTGAGCTATGGATTTTGCCCTTAAAGAAAGGCAGGCCTTTGTCTGGCTCACGTTTAAGTTTTGTACAGGTCCTTTTGGTGCTTTTAAGAAAGACGCAAAACCTTGTTAGAGTTTCCTACAGACCTAAATAGCAGCACTGCTAAGGTGGTTTCTCGCAGAAGACTCGGAGGTCTCTGTTTGCTGCGGGGATGCACACTTTTCCAGGCCCCTGTGGGTGGCCACAATGGGCATCTGTCCTCTTTTGGGTGGTTCTGTTTCCCTCCAGCCTTATGAAGTTTTATCCCAAGTATGCTAAGCTTAGTACTGAGCCCAAGAGTGAAGTCTCCCGAGCCCTGCAACACTCAACAACTCTGTCTCCTCCCAGCGCTGCCCCTGCCCCAGGAATCTGCCTGGAAACTGGGATCTTGTGCTGTTTTGGTCTCCGTCTTTTCCCCTCTGCAGCTTTGCTGGTTGTGTGAGTCCTGCTCCCTGTGCAGTGGCCTGGTACCTGCCCTGCCGCAGGCTGGGGCGGTCACAAGCCTCGCCGGGTGGGGCGGTCACAAGCCTTGCCGGGTGCTTTCCTCCTTTCTGCTGTCAGCCTTGTGCTGTGCCCATGTCTGAAAGCGACCGTTTCCCATCTCCCATCTAAGCACCATGGAAGGCAGTTCCCAAGGCAGTGAATCTTTTCTGATGGGCGATGAGGTCCAGGCTTTTATTTGGAGGTTCTTTGCTCTCCTCTTCCTGAGAGCTCACTTGTACTGCCTTATCTGTGACCGATTGTCCTGAGGCTGGAGTCAGAGAGCACAGGCCCTCACTCCACTGAACAGTTGAACAGCTGTATATACAAAAGGTATGGCTGCTCCTCTAGTCACCAAACGGCCCTGGAAAAGCTTTCATGCTCGGGGCACTTTGCTGAGCAGTCCAGAAATGACGAGACGAGGTCCGTGCTCATAAACACCTTGCAGCCAGATGTGGAGATCAGCGATGTGCAGAAAGAAAGCAAGATCTGGAGATGGAGGACTCAAGTCAGAGCCCTGGGGCCCAACCAAAGAGAGACTACCTGCCCTGGGAAACCAGCTGTTTCCAAGGAGGAGGGAGACCCGGAGACAGCACGGGGGGGGGGGTTAGATTAAACATCAGAGACAAAGTGGGAGCACTGAGAAGAGGGAGCTGCGAGACCAACAAGCAGACATGCAGGAGAAGCAGCGGGAACGAGGCGGAGTCAGGCTCCCATTTCTCCGAGGAGGGAAGCTTCAGAGCATTTGGAGGGCCCTGCGGTGTGCATTGAAATTTGGGGATTTGAAGAGTTGAAATCCTCAGAAGAGGACTGGAAAGTGCAAAGCACAGTGACGGGAAAGCAAAGGAGTGCCTCAGGAGAGAGGAGGCTGGGGTGGAAGTTACAAAAGCGAGGTAGATCCTGATCACCCATGGGAAGTAAGCTGGGGGACCTCTGCAGATTCCCCGAGGGGTTCTGCTTCATTTGAATGAAAGGGGAGTGAGTCGTCAGCGGGGACTATTCTGTAACAACCACCACAAGAGCCAGGATTTTTTTTAATCAAGCTTTTAATTTTTTAGAAAAATATTTAATTCACTTCTATCTTTATACACTTGAAGAAGGCAACTCCACACTGTACATGTTCACCATATTTCTGCATCTTTTATTTCCTTGTTCGGCAGCATTTCCGGCCCTTAACAGAGCAGCGGCCTATCTGTGTCTCCCGTGGAAGGCAGGTAAGGGCAGCACATCGCCCGCCTCTCACTCTGCAAAAATATCTTTGTATTGTATTTATGATCCCTCCTTCACCTGCAATGAAAAAAAAAAGATAACACATGAGAACATTCTGGAAACAGTACATGGGCTTTGGAATTCCTCAAATAAGTCATCTGTTGGTGTCTTTTATGGTTTTTATCTATTTTTGCCTTTTTGGTAAAAATCAAGAGATTTGGGTAAGCAACTAATACACAGTGTCTCAGTCACTGCAGCTCAGCTGTCAGGCCACCCATGACATGGGAAGTGGCGTTACCTCCGCAACCTTCGGCAGGAACACAAGGGACCCCTGGCCACAATGGTCCTGGAGTCTCCTGAGTGGTCCTGCTGTGCTGCCTCTACCACTCACTAAACTTAGTAAAATTTCCAAGATAAATCAATGTTTCCTGTAAGAGTTAAAATTTCCCCACTTTTTTCAAGTCTCCTTAACCGTTGTCCTATGAAAAGGTGAGTGAAGAGTCAGCATTTGTGAATTATTTAGAACAGAACCAAAAAGACAATGAAGAACAGCTTTAAGGTTCCTGATAATTCTTGTCAGGAAGAAAAATAAATTATGTGGTGCCCAGTTCTAGGCGCCTACACCAGCCCCATCTGCATCCCCAGCTGGACCTGAGCCAGACATGGACGAGCCCTTGGAACCAGTTCTTGGACATCACATCGACTTCATCTACAGCTCCCTGGAGAACGGACAGGGACTGACTGGGTGATAGATCCTCGCTCTGTCCATCTCTCATTTCCAGCCCTCTTACCTGGAACTGGCATCAAGAACAAGAAGAGCACAGCAAACAGGAGGTAATGGATCCTCATGGCTGGCAGCTTGGCGTCAGGCTGAGATTGGACCAAATGGCACGCTGGAACAGCCTTATAAAGAGCTGGGCCAGGGCTGCGATTCCTGCAATATCACGGCGATGACAACACGCAGCTTCCTGCTCTGTCACACCGGTGTCTCACTCGGCAGCGGGCACGCCCACTCACCCCGGAGCTGGCTGCACGCCCCAGTGCGTGGCTCTTCTGTGTCCTCTGGGCGCCAGACGCTTGTGCACGTGTGGCTCAGGTCTGGCTGTGGGTGTACATGGAGGTGCTGTGGGTGAGACCCGTCTTCTTGTAGAAACAGTGCCAGGTCGTAAGGCGCGGGGCTGGCTTGTCTGCACTCTCATACCTTTAACCTTTCTGCCTCCTCCTAGAAGTCAGGGAGCACCTGAGATCCTCCTCGATCCCGAGTCAGTCAGGAACTAGCTGTATTCAGAACGACAGACCAGAACTAGCTATTGACTAGTTAGGAACGAAGGGACGGTGGCTACAGACATCCCTCATTTAACCACCTATCCATTAATGGCTGTTGAGCTTCTGACTGAGGCGCACTGTTCGGATGCATGACCCAACTTTTCTTTTTTTTCTGTACAGTTCTGCACATCTTGTTTATACAGCCTCTGTGTCTTTCTGGTACAGTGTATGTGTTTATACAGTCCTGTAATTTTTGCTGATCGTACTGCACAGAGCTGTCGTTTGTGTCCTGTTGTACACTGCAATACTGTGTGTAAGAATTCTGCAAGAAAAGCAGTCATCAAATTGGATTCTGCTTTGGCCATTTCTTGGCTCTTAATATTGTCATGTACATGCTACGTACAAGTCCTCATTTAGCGACAGTCTCATTTAACTAGAGTTGCAGGAGTATAACTGCGCCCTCGGCCTCGTTAATCCAGGAATGTCTGTGGAACAGCTCTTGCTCTGAGGTCCTTGGCCTGAGGCAAGATACCAAAGCTAGAGTGAAATACTGTACATCTTATATTTCATGACTGTCTGAAAGCTACCCAAACTTAAGTGTGTTTTTTTGTTTGTTTGTTTGGGGTTTTTTGTCTTTTTAAGATAGGGTCTCGCTATACAGTTCAGGCTGGCCTTGATCTCACTTTGTAGCTCAGGCTGGTCTTGAACTCAAAACGATCCTCCTGCCTCAGCCTCCCGAGTGCTGGGACTACAGAGGTGTATGACATGCCTGGCTCCAAACTTTAGAATGAAGATGTTCTTTTATTTTGCTTCCCTGTGATGACACACTTCCTGCTCTGGCATCCCCTGCTCATGGAGGACACTGTCTATGCCACAGAGGGGCTTTGGAGGGCAATGCCAGCCCTCGCAGAAGTGCTCTCGACTCATGAGCTTTCAGGGAAGTGCGGGGTTCAGGTGAAATTCAATGTTTCAAGCATAAATCACTTTTCTGCAACTACTAGGCTTAAATGTTAAGGAATCTGATCAGTGGGTTCTATTTGTTGATCAACTACTTAATTGGGACTTAGGGCACCATGATGCTGCCTGGCTATTGCACCGTGTCAATGCAGTTGTAGCGGATCCACTGAGGTTCTGGGTGTGTTACTTCTAGGGGTGTGTGTTCAGGGACCCCGGGGCACCTAGTGGCTTCAGTAAGCAAAGTGAACACCTCTTACAGGTTGGGAACCAGCCCAGGGCTCAGTGTGGGCGGGGGATGGATGGGGTGAGATAAGAACCCAGGGAGTCTTGGTTTCTTTTCTCCAGAAGCCCCAGGTGGGTTCAGACAGGTGGGCAGCGGGAAATGGAGGTGTAGCTTGGTGGTAGAATGCCTGCCTAGGATGCAGGAAACCCTAGGTTCAATGCTCAGACAAAAAAAAAAAAAAGACAGAAAAACCTGAGAAACAAGAACACATAGGGTAGATGCCAACAAAGTGTCACAGTAAGGGTTCAAGCCTAGTGTCACTGCATTGTGCCAAAGGGATGAGTCACGCCGAAGAACCCTGCAGGGACTTAGCTCCTCATATTTAAGAGGACTTTGGAGCTGTAGATACTTTTATCTATTAAAAAATATACCTTAAAATGTATCCTAGGTTCAGAATTAAAGACAAAGAGAAATAGTTTTCGGTGGAGGAGGGCAGCGTGGCTTTGCCTTTGCAGTCCTACCGCATTCTACAGAGTATGAGGGAGACGTGGGTGGGGCTGGGTGTGGTGCAGATGTAAAACCAGCTCCCAGCGCAAGGTGCAGGTCCAGCGTCACTGTCTGCTCTAGCGCTGCAGATGACTCAGTCTTCCATGTGGGAAAACAAAAAGACTGCAGCAGTGAATCTTTGGTTTAAATGTGCTCTTCATGAGAGGCATTTCTAGGGCAGCACCACTCTTCATAAGAGGTTCTTTGGGGATGAAACTTGCTTTACGCCGGGCACTTGGAAGCTGTTGTTGGCACTTGCTCCATGCTCTGTGCCTCCTGCAGTCCAGTGGATGCATATCTCCTGGGGATGCCTGAGCCATGGCTGAGGGTTTAGAAGATGCTGTCTTGTCCTAACCTCCAATTTTTACAGCCACACAGCAAGTGGGCCAGGGAAAGCATAGATTTACTGCACCAGGTAACTGAGTAGTCCGTCTCCACCAAACCATATGGTGTGGACTAATACAATCTCTCACCTACGGCAGCACATTTTCTTGGGATTTTTGCATCTAACAGGCAGGAACACACACTGAGGGCCCTTTGGCTTTCTGTAAATCTTGCTGAATTTTGAACACTGTATTTGATATTATGCTTCATCTTCTGAGAAGGGGCTGAGAGAGAAAGAGAGAGAGAGAGAGAGAGAGAGAGAGGGAGAGAGAGAGAGAGAGAGAGAGAGAGGGCAATAGGAAGGCAAGGAGAGGGTGTGGAAAGAAGGCACAAGGGCTGAACACAAGGACTTCTGTCTCCCCGTGAGTCACCGGATTCAAGATGTGTCAGATCTGGTGCAGCAGCTCATGGAGAGACAAGCACGCTGTCCAGAAGCAGGACCACAGAGGCGGGGACGCACATCACCAGTTTAGTGTGCAGTGGGTTGTCTGGCCTGCCCAAGGCTGGTAGGAAATATTTCAGACAAGTTTGCATTTGACTTGGTAGACAAGTGGGGGACAAGAATTCATGAAAGCTAGGCCTAACACTTAAATCACCTAATGTTCTGGCCCCACCAACTATTTCTTAAATAAACACTGAAGAGAAGTCCTGAGAAAGACATGAATAAAATTAACCTGATGAGCCTAGTGCTTACTTTAAAAAAGAATCATTGTGATCTAAGGACATTTATGCAATCTACCTGCAAATGCCCATCGGTATCTGAAGGTCTTGAGCGCTGCGGGACAGGCTACTGACGTCCCGGGACACCCGTGGTGCCCAGCCACTCTGCCTCCCTGGGCCTCTCAGAGCAGCTCAGCATAATCTAAAGGGAAACGGCTCTGGGCCCAGGGATTGCTAAGCTCTTGGTTCAACAACAGAGGAGAGAACCGCAGGGCAGAGCTTCTCTGTGATCTCACACTGAGAGGCCCCGAGGCTCAGCTTTGGTCAGCCCTCCTACGCTACTGTTTCCTGTCCTCTCTTCTCAAGCGCAAAGTGATGCATTTGTGGAGATGGCGCTTAACTTCCTTTCTGCTCTCCTGTGCAGTGTTCCCCAGACCTACCAGGTCCCACCTTGCTGTAGCCAGTCTACTGTTCTGCACTGGGTGCTCTACCCCGCACCAACTCTGCTGAAGGGCTTCCCTCTGGCTCCCACTCGCACACCAGCAAACACGCAGACACCGCTTAGCTTTGGGAAGAGGGGACACACTGGCCCCGTGGTTCCAGGTCCGCACGCTGCATCAACTCTCCACAGAGAGCGCCTCTTGGGCACCATCAGATCATGGGTTCAGGGCCCCTAGGTTTCCCTGCTCGAACAAGGGATACTGGGGAGAATTGCATGGTGCAGGGGGACCCCTCAGGGCTCCAGGAGAGAGGGTCTGAGGACTGCTGCCTCCACGGGGAGTCCTCAGACAGAGCCCACTGTGTGCAGAGGGGGCGGGAGGGCACCGGTCACGAACGGCAGGCTTCAGTTCACACAGTCAGTGTTCGCATCATGTTCAGGCTGAGGCTGGAGCCTGGGTGGACACAAGTTACCTCCAGACAGGAAAACAAAAAAGTATTTCCTGAATCAGAGCAGGTTATTATTATTTTTTTGGATGAATCAGAGCAGGTTATTATTATTTTTTTGATGATTTTTTTTAAACTAAGAGAATGGTTAGTTTAAAGAGCATAAGTTAAGAAGAGATGAAGAAACATCCAGGGCTCTGACGATCCGTGTTTTCTATTTGGCCTCTGTTGACCTGAGTGTGTGGTCAAGATTAAAAGACAAGTAGGCACCACCAAGGGGAGAGAGGAGCCAGAAAGGGTCCTGGAAATAAACGCAGGCACACAACAGCTGCCACAACACAGCATTTGCTAGCAGCAACATAACGGCAAGGGCGCAGAGGGTAGCTGCCGGCTCGGAGGCCCCATGTCCGGCACTCCACCCCACGGCCAGCGGGCCCCGTACTGCACCTCGTGCTGCAGTGGAAGGAACCAGACCCCCCTGGGTGAGTCTGAAGTACACATCTCCCCGAGGCCACTGAAATGCACACCAGCACGAAGATGCACACCCACCTGGGACTGGGAAGCGGGGAGCCCTGCTCTGGCTGCACGGGCTCCCTGGCTGTCAGTGAGCACCCGTGCAGCGGTGACCACCTCTCACTAGGTGTTCTGATGGAAATAGAAGGGCACAGGCACCAACCCTAGCCCAGTCAGGTCTCCATGTTTCAGAGCCTCCTCAAGCGTGTGCATTTTCATGGTTCCTTGCTTCTTTCATTCTCATTTTAGAGAAATTCTCCTTCACAAGACTCATCTTTGAACCTTGGAACCCACGTCTTTAAACCATGCGCCACTGTTCCTCTCCAGCTCCCTGCTGTTGGCACCTTCAGTTGCTCCACAGTGATCTCAGTTCTTTACTTAGAAATAACCCATCCTGGACTCCTTTTCCTCTTCTCCAACCACTGCCTCACTCTCCTTTCATTATCAAGTTTCTCAGACGGTGGTTTCTGCTCACGCGTGGTGCTCTGTACTCATGCGTATTCCTCCTT